CCTTTTTTTTTTTTTGAGACAGAGCCTCAAGCTGTTGTTCTGGGTAGAGTACCATGGTGTCACAGCTCACAGCAACCTCCAACTCCTGGGCTCAACGATTCTTTTGCCTCAGCCTCCCAAAGTGCTGGGACTACAGGCACCACCATAATGCCCAGCCATTTTTTAGTTGTAGCTGTCATTGTTATTTGGTAGGCCCAGGCTGGATTCCAACCCACAAGCTCAGGTATATGTGGCTGACACCTTAGCCACTTGAACTACAGAAGCCAAGCCTTTTTTTCTTTTTTTGGTAGTCTTACTCTATTGCCTCAGCCTAGAGTGCCATGGCATCAGCCTAGCTCACAGCAACCTCAAACTCCTGGGCTCAAGTGATCCTTCTGTCTCAGCCTCCTAAGTAGCTGGTGCCCACCACAAACACTGGCTTATTTTCTCTGTTTTTAGTACAGATGGGATCTTGCTCTTGTTCAGGTTGGTTTTCGACCTCCTGAGCTCAAGAGATCCTCTTGCCTTGGCCTTCCAGAGTGCTAGGATTACAGGAGTGAGCCCTTGCGCCTGGCCCTAAACTAGAACTTTTTAAGTGGTAATATTGTACAAAACATCTGATTAGACAGTAGCAATCCCTTGAGGGCAAGAATCACATCTAACATGATGAGTATAATGCCTCACATTCTGTAAGTTCTAAAACTAATTACAAAAATAATCAGAAATAAAGGACTAGGCACCGGAAATAATCACGACAGAAGTTGATGCTTTAACCTCTTCTTGCCTCTATGGTATTGATTCCTGATTCTATTATAATAGTTTCAATTTTTGAAAGAAAGCATGTTAACTTACTATAGCTCTATTGCTTTAACACTTAGACCTTTCCTTCCCCTTCTTCCTGAGTTTTAAGTCAGGTAGTCTGATTCAAGAAGCCTATCAGTTTATTTGCACTGGGCTTAGGGAAGGCCTAACTAAGGAAAGAAATTAATACAGTATAATTGTCAACAGGATTGGGATTCTACTTTGGTGAAGACTTTCAAACTAAAGAAGAGAGAAAAGAGGGTATGTGTGGTTACAAAGTAACAAAGTTTTCTTTGGAATTTTACTATCATATTGCATTCCTGACATGTTTCTCTTAGCCATTGTTAATTACATTACAAATGAATTCATGCAATGGGGGTGGTTTCATATTTCTTGAAGTAGTTAACTAAGGACAGCATCTGTTTCACTGGTCTGGGCTGCATCTCCATTCATACAGAGGAAAAGGATTTGCTTATATGCTCAAGTTTGAGTTGTCATATGAATTTTTACACAGGACTTTTGTGCTCTGATGTAAGCTTCAGATGAAATGTGTGTATAATGGGATATGTAGAGATCTTTCTGTGAGGGCTTGTTTAGGGTACTCAATGTGTTTCCAAAGACTTCATGTCCTTAGATCGGATTACAGCTTTACTTTTTCTGGTGCTGTCATCTAAATTTCTCAAAGGTTCGTTTATTTTTTTCTAGGGCATTTTTGTGTTGGTACAACTTAGTCTTCATGTCGAAGCAGGCAATGAGATTACATTGTTTGTTATTTACTGTGGTCTTGGTCCTTAGGATTTGCATCCAAGTTGTCTGATGGAATAATTTTATCTTCTGTACTTGATATCTACTTGGCATTAAGGTTGTTGGTCTTTGCCCTTTCTCTAGCGCTCTAATAGCCGACAGTTCATTGATGGTCCCCCTGGACCTGTAAAGAAAACGCGTTCCATTGGCTCCACAGTAGACCAGGTAAGAATAGTCAGGCCAAGAGAATTGTATTCTTGAAAACATCAGAGATTGGTGACCCCAAGCATTAAAACTTGTTTGAGTCAACATGGGAATTTTTCTTTGAGAGAGATGCTTAGTGAGAGTTTTTCTAGGTAATAGAATCTTTATCCATGTAAACAGCCATCAGCTTTATGTTTGAGTGTTGTATGCTTATGTGTGTGTATCCTGTGTGCTGTATTTATATTCTTAAGTATGAGATTTCAACTTACGAGTATTTTTGACTAGAATCTTGTTTTGATTAAGATTTAGAAATTTGCACTCACTCAAAATAGTTTATAGTGGAGAAAAGGTTAGATTCTTTATGTTTGTCCTTCCTTTGTTGCAGGGAAATGAATCCATAGTTGCAAAAACTACAGTGACTGTTCCTAATGATGGTGGACCCATTGAAGCTGTGTCTACTATTGAGACTGTGCCATATTGGACTAGGAGCCGAAGGAAAACAGGTTCATTGTGTTTGTTACTAAATTGCTTGTATAAAACAACTGGTAAAATTTGGGAGAGTTGGTTTATTAGACCCTTCAAGTCAGGGATTGGATGTATTAGGTAGTTTATTTTTATTTTTATTTTTTTTATTTTTACACTCTGTTGCCCAGGGGTTGAGTGCCATGACATCATCATAGCTCATGGCAACCTTAAACTCTTGGACTCAAGTGATCCCCATGCCTCAGCTTCCTGAGTAGCTGACCCTACAGGCATCTACCACAACACCCTGCTAATTTTTCTTTTCTTTTTTTTTTTTTTTAATTTCTCTATTTTTAGTAGAGGTGGTATCTTGCTCTTGCCCAGGCTGGTCTTGAGCTTCTGAGCTCAAGCATTCCACTGCCTTGGCCTTCCAGAGTGGTAGGATTATAAACCTGAGCCACTGTGCCCAGCCTACTTCTGAGTAGTATCTAACTGTTGTTTATTGAAGACCAAAGAGCTGCTTGTGTTATGTTCTAGCCTGGCATGCTAGTCTGGCTTGTGCCACTAATGCATAACTTTAGTTTTCTAAAAGTTTGCATAGTTGTTACTTCTGGTTTTGGTTATAGATTAATGTTTATCAATTATATTGAAAGTGGGGCTGAAATTCAGAAAGAACAGAATACTTAAGACACAAAGCTTAACAAAGTTGTTTGTTTTCTAGGTACTTTGCAGCCTTGGAACAGTGACTCCACCCTGAGCAGCAGGCAGCTGGAGCCGAGAACTGAGGTGGACAACGCAGGCACGCCGCAGAATACAAACGGAGGCATGCGCCTGCATGACTTTGTCTCTAAGACGGTAAATCTGCCATCTTTCCTTCTTTTTTTTTTTTTTTTTTGTTGTTTGTTT